CATGTGGCTCATTATGGATCCCATTTTGATAATCCGAACTATTTATTTTGTTAAATATTTCATATATTTTATCCACACAAAAAATTAGATCAATTCGATAATTGTAATTTGTTTAATTTTTCACTAAAAACACAATGATTGCATTTTTAAAAATAAATCATATATTTTTTTAATAACAAACACAATAAATTAAACAAATAAAATTTATCAAATAAATCTAAGTTTTTTTAAAAAAATAAAATATCCAACAAAATTAAAAATTCGAATCATCTAAATAAAAACTATAATAAACCACACAGTGGAAATAGCACCTTCCGATTCAAAATGTGGCGGCTGCTCCTTTTTAAAAAGGGTAAATTACATTTACCTCCCCTGAAGTTTCTGACAAATATAAGGATCTCCCCTGCAGTTTTAATAATTACACTAACTTCCCCTACTTTACCTGACATTGTACAGATTCCCCCAATCCGTCAATTATACATAAACAACGTTACTTTTGTATACAAAATGACCATATTACCCTTTTATTTGAGCATGAAAAGACGAAAATACCCTTTGATTATAGTATTCAACTTTGTTTTTAATTTTAATTTTAATTTTTTTGTTCTCTCTCATCTCATCTCATCCCCCAATCCCAACTTCACTCTGGTTTCCAATTGCAACAGCAGTGTAATCTGAATTCTCTAAATCACTCCCCAGATGTCCCTCATCTTCCTCCTCTTTCTCTCTCTACAACTCCACCTCTCTCTTCTCTCCTCTCCCTCCTCCACCACTGCCTCTGCCGCCCGCCATCTCCACACCACGGCCTCATCATGTCCTTTTGATTTCGACGTCCTTCGCCGACTCATTCAATCCTCAAATCGTCCAAAACTCGACTCCGATTCCGTCTCTTGTCACTACATCAAGGTCGGTCTCCGACTCATTCAGTCCGATTATCTCCGAATCACCAACAATTTTCTTCCTCCGATTGACTCCGCCGAGTCTTGTTGGGTTTCATACCAAACCCTAATAAACGATTTCTTCCCCAATTTCAATGATATTCGCAAATCTGCAGTTTCCAGGCCTCTTGGATCGCCGAGGGTTGTATTATTATTTTATATATAATAAAAAAAAAAATCATACAAAAATGGTATGACGTAACACCTTTGCACTTTGGCCAAACAGGTCTTCTGTTGTTAACTAAAAATTAGCCTCCGTTTGGGAAGTGAGTTGGTTTTTTGACTTTTTGACTTTTTGGTTATTTTAGCCTAGGCTATTTTAGCCTTGTTTGGGAAGGGCTTTTTAGTTTTTTTAACTTTTTTTGTGAGAGAAGATTGTAATGATTATAGGTTGGATTTGATGTTTTGTTTTTTGTGGCTAAAATAGCCTATTTTGTTTTTTGTGGCTATTTTAGCAAAAAAAGCCTGACTTTTTTCTTCCCAAACGGAGCAATGTCAAAAAAATGTAATTGGTTTGGTTTTTTAAAAAATAATTTTTAGAAAATTTTACTTTCTTGTTTTTCATATTTTTTTTATTTTTATTAAACTTTTTTAATTTTTAGACACATTTAACATAAATATACTTAAAAAGTATAATTTTGTAAAAAAAAATCTTTAAAAAATTCACTAAATATCAAAAATACAAAAAATCAGTATACCTTTCATATTTTTGTATATTTATTAATTTTTTGAAATATCTTTTCACGAATATTTTACTTTTTAGATACATCTAAGTAAGGTACATCTAAAAACGTAAAAAAAATGTTTAAAATTTTAAAAATATTTACTAAAAACAAAAAAACACGAAAAATAAAAAATTTAATTTTCAAAAAATTGAAACCAAACACACTGAATAATATTCTTTTTGGTTCTCTATTTTTTTTACAATACTATTTTTGGGAGAATTATTATCCAGTGAAATTAAAAAAAATATAAATCAATGATAAATTTTATACACTTTAATAATTAAAATGTTATACTTCTTTTTATATTTTTGTAATTTTTTTCATTATACCCCTGTATAGTTATTTCTCCACTATTTTTCTCTTTATTGTGAATGGATGGTCTGGCAGTTTTGGTCGGCATAAAAAATGTAGTAAAAAGATAAATACTGTATTTTTTTTTTATTTAAAAAAGTGGGAGAAAATTAGACTTGGTTGTCCACGATGAAATAAAATTAGAGAATTAAATTTTTTAAAAATATTTTATAAAAATTAAGACATAGTTGTCCACAATAAAACTTGAAAACACAAATATTGAGGTTTGGCCTAATGGTCTATCTAGTATGTGGTGAGAGGGAGACCAATGGTTTGAATTAATAGAGTAGCAATGAACCCTTCTAATTGTAATATAATTATGCTTATATTCTACTGCTATCTTTGTTAAAATAAAAAAAAACTCCGATAAGACTAAATGGTAATTTTGATTAAAAAAATTCTAGAATTTTATTCTTATAACAAAATAAATTTTTAATTTTGTTAATTTAAATCCTAATTTTTTTATTAGTTTTCATCTAAATTATTCTTTTATTTTCGTTAAGTAAAATTGATGGGAAAAAAATTATATTTTAGTTATTAAACTCAATAAAAAAAATGATATTTTAAACATTTTATATGCATTTACATTGATGGCTAAAATATTATTTTTCTCTTAGTTTTACTTGACGAAAATAGATGAATAGTATAGATTGAAACAAATCAAAAAAATTAGAATTTAAATTAACAAATTTAAAGTTATGTTAGAGACCCACACATTTATACTCACAAATACATCCACAATGATGTAGCATGGGAGTTGGGCCAACCATCATTAAGCCTCTGTTTGGAAAGAGGCTTTTTTGGCTAAAATAATCACAAAAAATAAAATAGGTTTTTTAACCTAATAAGACAAAACATCACATCCAACCCATAATCATTACATTCTTTTTCTCACAAAAAAGTCAAAAAAACCAAAAACACTTCCCAAGCTTTTTAGCCCCAGACTAAAATAGGTAAAAAAGTCAAAAATCCAACCCACTTCCCAAACGAAAAATGTGTAACAAATCAAAGTTAACACATACATCATTGTCAGGAGAATTGTAAGTACTTTTTGAAGGTCTCAAACATTTTTCCAAAATTTAAGCTTTGTTTGGTTTTGGTTTACAGAAAATATTTTTTAAAAAATTCTATTTTTTTTTTATTTTTTGTATTTGTTTTTTGTTTTCAATGAATTTTTTTTAATATTTTAAGCAATTGTTTTAAAATTTTTTGACACACATAACATAAATATACTTAAAAAGTGTAATATTTGTGAATTTTTTTTTAAAAAAATTAACTAAATAACAAAACTACAAAAAAAAAAAACAAAAATTCAGTATATTTTTTATATTTTTGTGTATTTATTAATTTTTTAAAATATTTTTTTACAAATATTTTACTATTTAAATATATTTAAGTAAGGTACATCTAAAAAATTTTTTAAAAAAAATTACTTAAAATTTTATAAATATTTACTAAAAAAAAAACACGAAAAACAAAAAACTTAATTTCTAAAAAACTGAAACTAAGGCCTCGTTTGGGAATAGACTAATTTAGTAACCTTTTTGTTATTTGGCTAAAATATGAGCTAAAAAAAACTAGTATGTTTAAGATGACTTTTTCGCTTTTTACGAAAAAATGTGCAAAAAGTAGAGAGAAAAGAAAATCTTTGACTTTTTGGTATGAGTTATTGGTTTTTTGATTTTTTTAGTCACTTTTTGACTTTTTGGTTAAATGGACCGCTTCCCCAAACGAGACCTAAACACACTAATTGGTATTTTTTTTTTTTTTAAAGGACTAGAATCCCGTCTAGTTTAGATTTTGGAGTAGAGGACGTTGTTTTAGCTCATGTGGCTCATCATGGATCCCATTTCGATAATCCGAACTATTTATTTTGTTGAATATTTCATATATTTTATCCACACAAAAAATTAGGTCAATTCGATAATTATAATTTGTTTAATTTCTCACTAAAAAAACAATGATTGCATTTTTAAAAATAAATCATATATTTTTTTAATAGCAAACACAATAAATTAAACAAATAAAATTTATCAAATAAATCTAAGTTTTTTAAAAAAATAAAATATCCAACAAAATTAAAAATTCGAATCATCTAAATAAAAACTATAATAAACCACACAGTGGAAATAGCACCTTCCGATTCAAAATGTGGCGGCTGCTCCTTTTTAAAAATAATGGTCTGGGCTAGGGGTGTGCGCGGTGCGGGTCGGTGCGGTTTGAGAGAAAAATAGAAATCGTATGGCGGGTGGCGGATTGATAAAAGTGTCACTAAAATTGCCATTTTCCTTATCAAAAACCGGCGGTTCGGTTGGCAAATAATGGCGGATTTGCCTTGGCGGTTCGGGCGGATTGGCGGTTTATAAAAAATATAATTCAAATTACAAAACTTAAATCAAAGAGTAAAAAAAAGACGAGAGACATCGTGATGTTAAGCATCTTGCGAAGCTTTCTTCTGATGCAGCAAGTGTAGCAAGAACATGATAATATCAACGACTATGCCATCAGTTCATTACAAGTATCTGTGGAAACTGCAATGATCAAATACAATACATAAAATTCCCCTCGAGCATTAATGTAATAGTATATTCTAAGGTATAGAACAACAAGCAAACTTAAGTAAAAAAGAATTTTTAGAATCCTATAAAACATGATTTAATAGCGGTGCGGTGCGAGTCGGTGCGGTTTGGAAGAAAAATAGAAACCGGCGGATTGATAAAAGTGTCACTAGAATTTGTCATTTTTCTTACCGAAAACCGATGGTTCGATTGACAAATAATAATGAATTTGCCTTGACGGTGCGGTTCGGTGCGATTTTGGCGGTTTCGACGATTTTGACGGTATTATGCACACCCCTAGTCTGGGCCACCTAAGCAACAGAGAGCTGTCAAGCTGCTGAATCTTCGACGTCCCAAACCCGAGTAAACTGGTAGGTACCACCCACCCGGTGCTATGATCAAATCGATTCCCAAACGGTTTAGATCCGAACCCTAATTTGGAGGAGACCACAAGAACCGGGTCTTGGGTTGTAACCGGATCCATTTTCATTGTCGTCTTCATTTACTTCACATCCAAAACCAACAGAGAAGAGATCCAAGTTTTTTGAAGACTCACGATCACAATTCACAAACCATCTCTGAGAAACTATCTCAAGACAAGACTAGGCTCGATCGATCTCAATTTACAATAAGAATTGTCGTGCTTCGATGCAATAATGGCGCTGGTGTCGGCCGTACGTGATTACGTCAACCGCATGTTGCAGGACATCTCCGGCATGAAGGTCCTCATCCTCGATTCTCAAACGGTTCGTACCCTGCAATTCTTTCCATTGATTCCTCAATTTCCATAATTTTAATAATTTTGTTTCAAAATATAGAAATCTTTGATTATCAGATTCGTTTCTTCCACGAAAATTAAGTAAATTTGGAATTTAATTTTCGAATTTCTTTGCATATTTGTTCAAGGATGTGTTTGGATCTTGGATTATTTGTAGAGGGAAAGAAAAAGGGCTGGTGAGAATTTGAGAACATTTTAGTTTAATAAGCCAATTAGGAACTGTTTGAGTTTGGTTTGTATGCTCCTGAGGGCATCTAAAACCTATATCAAATTTAAAATTTAGGGAAAATTAACTCAAAAACCTCTCCACTCTTTGACTCAAACTTACATCAAAATTAGGAGACTCAAATAATGTTTACTCAAATTTTTAATGACCATTTTGTAGCTTTCAATTTTTCAACTCTGCCATTACTGAAGCTTTTTATTGAATTTGTGCCTAAATCTGAGTATGTCCACTGTAGTGCTTCATATTACATTTCTGCTCAAAATTTTTAAATACAAATTTGAGTAAGAGCTGGAGGTGGTCTTAGTCAGCTTGACTTAATGCGAGTGATTTATTTAGTGGGTTTTCTCTACTTTGAATTTGTTGAATTTTTATGAGCAAGGTGATTCAAGTTTTACTATTTAGTTTGGCTCATTTGTTGCTGAATTTACTTGCCTTACATATTTTGGTTGGGGTTTCATGTGTCACATTTAAAAAAACAACTACATTAACTTAGATTTTAACTAGGGCATTTGGTCTAGTGGCTGTGTAACACCCTTTGTGGTGTGAGGTCTCAGGTTCAACTTCTCCGGTTTGATATCCTCTGTGATGGTGTGAGGTCTTGGGTTGAACTTCTATGGAGAGGAGTTTGATACCCTTTGTGATGGTGTTTATTTCTGCCCCATTATGGGATTGTATGTAAGTAGTAGTAGAGTGGTTGTTGGGCTTGGGCTATACTTTGTTGACTTTCCAGCTATTGTGGGCTAGTAGTCTGTTTGATATGTAATATTTCTCATATTTGTAATTACTCTCCTATCGATTGACAAAAAAAAAGAGGAAAAGATGTTGATCCATGGTTTGTTGTGCTGCTTTATGTGAGGGTTAGAGTTCTAACTCATAATAAAGTTTTCACTGAATACTATTGTTCCTGTGAATTGATTTTGAGTGGCCCCAAATTTTGAAAAATTGCCTAGCACACTGTTGAACCCCCAAATTTTGAGAAATTACCACTGGTTTTGCCCCTGGTTATTATATGAACAATATAATTGTGATAGAAATGATAATATTTTAAGTATTCCTTTCTGGTTCATGCAAAACCCTTGCATGTGTTGGTCTAAAGTGTCAATTTTAGTTAGTCAAATGAGGGTTTAATTATGAGAGAGTTCCGTTGTTTCGTGACTTGCAGGTTAGCATTGTTAGTGTTGTGTATTCTCAGTCAGACCTACTTCAGAAAGAAGTGTTTCTGGTAGAACTGGTAGATTCCATTTCCAAGTCAAAGGAGCCCATGTCACATCTCAAAGCAGTTTTCTTTCTTCGGCCAACATCGGAGAATATTCAGCATATGCGACGTCAGCTGGCAAGTCCAAGATTTGGAGAGTATCACCTTTGTAAGTTGGTTTCAATGGAAATACGAGAGAAAAAAAATCTGATTTACCGCTCATATTTCTGATTTTGTCAGTTTGTTGTGAACCATTGACTGAAAGCCCCTTTTTGTCTCTTATACTCCACAGTTTTCTCCAACTTGTTGAAGGATACCCAGCTTCATATTTTAGCTGATTCAGATGAACATGAAGTTGTACAGCAAGTTCAGGTAACTGTAATTTGCAAACATAAACTGCTGAAGCAAAAAATTCTGCTTATATCTAAATATGTTTTTAACAAATTATATTAGTCCAATTTTTGGCCTTGTGGTTCAGCCCATGTGCGCGCATAACCCCCTTGTGGTTCCTGTACTAAGTTGCACCGCTAACTCTGTTGACAGCAGTGGTAAATGACTTCAATAACCCACTCTATGTTCTCCCCTACCTCATCCTTTTTCAGTCACCGCCACACACGAGCAGTTCCATTTCTTGCTGCCTCCCCAAAGCTCTCCTGGCAGAAGCACATGTAACCTTTGCTAAGAGATTAAAACAAAACACTAACAAAACATACTTGGATAGTAGGTACATATATATTTATATATATATTATGTAGGTATGCATGAGAGAATACAAGTGGCTGAATAAAAGTGGAAACCTCTAAAACAATCCAGTGTTTATTTTTGACAACTCAGGAGTGGTATGACCTACGGGGGGGAGCGGGAGCGAGGAAGCGTGAGCCGATAGAAGTTTTTTAGGTTGGGAGTGCCTCGGGGAGCAGTAATATATATATATATATATATATTTTAATACACATTAGAAGTTTTTTTATAAATATTTTTATTTTCATACACATTAAATATTTTATTTATTTATTATATTTTTTAAATAATGTATTATTGTTAATTTATTTTTTGATTTTTAATTGATATATATTATAAATAAATAATTATCCTGTTTCTAACTGCTTAGCTACTTCTATTCAATCGTCTTTGTTGTTTGTTTAATTAATCCTGTTTTCCGTTCATCTTAATCACCCACAAGATCAGTTTGTTCTATCCACCTAGTTTAAGTCACCCACTTCTTCCCAGTCTTGTGTAAGTCCTTCGGTTTAGGCAGAGTCAGACTTTGGGGTTTAAAGATAGGGTATGTATGTATACTAGGTATGTGATAAAATTGACAAGAATAGGGTATGTATTAAGATATCTGTAAAACTGGTTAATTAAAACAAAACAATGAATCGATTATTTAGAAGTAACTCATCAGTCAGTTCTAGGTCAACAACTTTGCCTTCCATACCTAATCCAGGAATCTTAATTAATGAAGAAGATGTTGAAATACAAAATGATTCAATTAATTCTGGATGGAATATTCCAAAACTGCCTATTAAAGAGATTTATAAAACTTCTTTTTTACAGAATGTTTTTAAAGTTACTCTCCATGTTAAAACTATTGAACAAGTTTATGCTCTGGAAAAACCACGGGAAACCTGTCAGTTATTTGATAAAAAATTAATCAAAAGACATTTGGATCATGGTTACAATTTTATGCATATTGGTTTAATTCAAATTGGTGTCAATCCATTAACTATGGTAGGACAAAATACTTCTGTTTTACTATGTTTAAGAGATGCTCGTTTTCTTAATTACAATGCTAGTTTAATGGGAATGATGGAAACTGGCCTTAATAAAGGTCCCGTACATTTTAACTGTTTTCCTGATTTCACATTAAGTTTAAGAGATCCACATATTCTCAAAGCACTAGCACTAAACATTCAATTACATGGTACATTCACTGAAATGTTAGATTCTTCACATAATATTGCCTTAATTTATTGTGTTCATTATAAATGCATGCAAACTAATTTAAATGTTCATGCTTTACATAAAAGCCCCAAGGATAAAACTTTATTAATTCAAAGCAGTAGTACTAATGAATCCAATATTAATATTCCTCATATGATTGAATGGAAAGATATCAATTTACCTGAACAATGGGTTACTGTCAATGAAAATTACAAACATAATCAACAGCAATCCTCAATCCAAGATATTCAAAATATCCAACAATATAATGATGGTTCCGTTAGCATTAAGTTTAATCGAAGTCAGTCTTCTAGACATAGTACATCTAGTGTCCCTTCTGAAATAGCAACTGAAGATGAAATATTTAATACTCCTTTATTTAGGAAAAATAGTCAAATCCATCTAGGTCAAACCACTCAAACTTCCCAAAATAAACTAAAAGGCATTGATAATTCTACCACCTCCCAGATTAGTAAACCTGTTTATACTACGACTACACATTTCCTTGAAGAAGATATAGCCTCAAATAATTCCCCAATAAATAATTATAATATATAAGGAATAATAAATTATGTTAAAATAAACAAAAGAAAAATTAGATATTTTATTTTATAATTTTTTTATTCTATATGTTAATGTTTAGGATATTGAGAATATTAAAAAAATAAATAAAAGATGGAAAATGATTTTTTTATTACTAAGAACAAAAAAAGGTAAAAAAAATAAAATAAAGAATAAAAGAGGGAGAGAGAGGAGTCAAATAGAGGGGAGGAACAAGAGAGACGAACAGAGAGAGAGAGAGAGGAGACAAAGACGAAGATGAACACACAGAGAGACGAGAGATACGAAGGACGAAGGAGACGACGACGAAGAGCATCGAACAGAGGGAGAGAGAGAGTCAAAGAAGATAAACAGGTTCAACTTCGACGATGAACAGAGGGAGAGAGATAGTCAAACACACAGATTGGAAGAGCATACCTTGATCTAGTCTCGATTAGGGTTTCAACAGGTTTTTCCCCTTTCCCTTTCTCTTTCTCTGTCTTCAATGGGTTAGGGTTTCTGTTTGTTTTCTCTTTCTCTATCTTCAATGGGTTAGGGCTTCTCTCTGTCTAGGTTTCTGAGTTGTTTTATTTCTACCAACGATCCCATCTTGGACAGGATCGTGTTTCTCTCTCTACAGAAACGCGATTTCTAAGAAACGCGGAATCGCGTTTCTTACGAAGATTTGTCATCTTGTTGCACGATTCCTGCAACTAAGTCCGGCCCACTAGTCCGACTAACAATCCAGGGTCTATTCCGTGGATCAGTCCTCCCATCTATTTAATTTTATGAGAATTGACCCCATCACCATGTGTTTAAATTTGTAAATTTTGATTCTCAAGAATGTCAGAACAATTATAACATGATATTCGCAAACTACAGGAATCCACCCAATTTACAGACCCAAATTCACCGTCAGTTTTTGAGTTCAAGTAACTGATGAATCTTAAATGGTCTCACTAAAATGACATTGCGGATCAGACATACAATTGATGCATTACATCTTCTTCATCATATGGGGCCTATATTTGTTTTGGCTTGAACTTGAAGCAATCCTTTGATCCATCTCTGGCATAATGTGAAATTGATATTTTTTTTGATCAACAACAAAAACTTAATTGATAAATAAGAAAAGGAAATGAGGATAAGGCATCCTCTTACAAAAGGACTAAGAGAAAACAAAACAAAATTGAAAACCCCCAAACAAGCTAAACACGGGCAAAATCCTACATATCACAAACTGCCAACCAATCTCTAGCCACCAAAAAAAGAGGAACTCCCTTAAATAAAGGGTTCCTCGACACCCAGAAAGAAGTTAAATGACAAACATTATCCCACAAACAACCCACTTCCCGAAACTTTTCATCAAACAACCTTGCATTTCTCTCCCTCCATAGAACCCAAAAAGTTGCAAAGACGGCACAAGACCAAAGCATTTTGGCTCTCTTTGATCCTCCAAAAGTGTGAAAATCCACTAGGAGCATATGCATACACCTTTTTGGGGCTACCCATTCCGAAAGAAAACAATTTGTGCCATAAATTTAACGCTATTGGACAATGCAAGAATAAATGATCCGCAGATTCTCCATTTTTAAAACACAGAATGCACCATTGAGGATTTAAAAAACGATTGGGTCTCCTTTTTTGCAATGTATCATTTGTCAAAATGCCTCCATGAACCAAAGCCCACATGAACACCTTTACTTTTAGGGGAACACAAGCCTTTCAAATTTTTTTGCAAAAAGGAAACTGAAGAACATGAGGATTATCAATGATGTACTCAAAAAAAGACTTACAAGAAAATATCCCTGACGAATGAAGAGCCCAAACCCACTTGTCCTCCAACAGAGGAGATAAAGAAAACTGATCAATTCTGGCCAATAAAGAAGTCAACTGAGAAGCCTCCCTATCATTAAGATTCCTAGAAAAATCAAAATTCCAGGAAATTAGAGCCAAAAGCGAGCAAGCCATGGACGCAATTGAAGAATTATGAGAACGAGCCACTCTATAAAGATGTGGGAAATCGACAGCAAAAGAAGACTGACTCATCCAAACATCCTCCCAAAATCGAACAAGTTCTCCATTGCCCACCCGAACAGAAAGATGACGAGACCAACATGTGAAAATTTGAGAAATAGACTTCCAAGGAGCACGATAGTTACCCTTCAAAACCACCCGTGCATCCCTACCATTGTCATGAGTCCCATATTTGCTTCTTATAACCGAATGTCATAATGAATCAACCTCAAGGGGAAATCTCCATAACCACTTGCCAAGAAGAGTCATGTTCCTAGCCACAATATTACCAATAGCCAAACCCCCCTTCTCCTTAGTTAACGACACTAACTCCCAATTTACCAAGTGATCCTTTTTCCCCTCATCCTTTCCTTCCCAAAGAAAATCCCTCATCAACTTTTCTAGAGACTTTGCCACCTTAACCGGAATCTTGAATAAAGATAAATAATAAATAGGGATACCACTCAAAACAGACCTAACCAAAGTGTATCTACCCCCACGTGATAATAAAGCCTTACTCCACCCTTCCAATCTCTTGCCAATCTTTTCCACCACAGGAGACCAAAAAACTTCACTCCTAGGATTACCCCCCAATGGAAGACCCAAATATTTAAACGGAAGTAACTCTATACCACATCCTAAAAGTGACGCCCTGTTCTGAAGTTGATCTTGCTGCATATTGATACCCACCATACTACTTTTTCCCAAATTGACCTTAAGCCCTGAAATAATCCCAAAAAATCTCAAAATCAAATGAAGATTAAGTAGCTGACTTTCATCTCCTGAGGAAAAAAATATGGTATCATCTGCATATTGTAAATGAGTCACACTAACTCTATCCCGCCCCACCTCCAATCCTGCAAAAAGACCTA